AGAGAGAGAGAGAGAGAGAGAGAGAGAGAGAGAGAGAGAGAGAGAGAAAGACTCTGCTTTAGAAACAGGACAAAGCCCAAACCCGAATGACACTGCAAATTTTTCCTCTGTTTTCTAACCAGTATGACATGCCAAAAATAGTAACTAGAAACATTTTTTTAAAGCGAGTTGGGAGTTTAAATTCAATCTTAGTAAGCTGCTGATAGGCTATGCAATATTTAGTTGGTTCTGGTCCTCAGAGCTACTCAGTGCCTGCCAAGTCCTCTATTCTTCTGTTCCTATTTCCATCTTAGGACAAATCTTCGAGCACATCTGATTGTGCACATGAACTGGGCTGCAAAAGAATTATGTCAGAAAGCAATCATCTGTCAACAGCAAAACAGAATGAGGAATTTCTGAATGACCCATAACTTCATGCCAGAAATGCTGTTCCAACAAAATGACTGCCTGGACAACACTGAGCCCCTGGGAACTGTCCTGAGTGGGGCTTACTCATCTGGAGAACGCTGGGCAAACATGATGTGTACCCTTCATCACAAACTCAAGCTTTGAACAATCCACTGGGGAACTCAACATACAGTCAAACTCCCAGAGACAGGGCCACCAGCCAGCCCTGAGTCTCTACAGGGACAGAGCAGGAAATCATGTGATCTGTAGCCAAAGGCCACGAAGAGTGACTTCACTTTCACTCCTCCCAGGCATGGGCTGGTGATCCAACTACAGGATCTGCCCTTAGAGCTGAGAAGATCTGGCATAGTCCTACATCTTCTAAAATAGAACACCTAAGAGAATAAGGCTTCCTTGAGGCCAGAATATTACATAGTTTCAGATGGTAGTGCGAAGGAGATTGGGTGGACTCGTTCAAAGTTTAAATAATGTTGAAATCAAGCAGAAGGGCCAGACAGCATGGGACTGTGCTGGGATTTGTCTTGCTTTGATTGCTTTTGTCCTGTGTAAGTGAATTGAAAATTCTCCATCGCAGGCAGCATTTGGAGGTACTTTCAAGCCTTAGTCAGAGTTAAACCCTCATGCTAGTTAACAACTGGGGCTTCAACAAGACTGGACAAGTTCACAAAGGCCTCAGTTTCTCAGTGGGAGAGAAGGTCAACTTAGGGACGTGCTGGTTCCAGGACCTACTCTGGACCAATAAATCTGAAAGCTATAAAATAAGAGACACTGAAGTCCACACCTCAAGCTGATCCAGGAGTCATCTTAGCAGTCAAAACAGACCAGGGCTCTGCTGTGCTTCCTGCTGGTCTTGGGGTAGGAGAAGTCAGTTAACTGGGCCACGGGGTGTATGTGTCTCCTTTACAAAAGCTTATAAGCCCAAGGAAAAAGTGAGCCTTTGTTCTCATTTGCATGCAGGAAATACCATGTTCCTGGCCTGCTGCCTCAGCTACTGGAATTAGAAGCTGGTGTCCTTGTATTCCTCTCCCCATCTCCCCATTTCCTGGGACTGTTTCAAAGGTTTCCTAGATACCGTAACTGATCTAAAATGGCTACTCCGTCATTTTTAGTGTCTGGGATTCTGGACAGAGAGTCTGGGACAATGGTTTGCGAAGCATGAAAACAGTTCCTATGCTTCTGCTAGGAACTGTTTCTATTAATGTTTTCTATTTATATCCTCCAAATCCACATAACCCCAACTAATCCAAACTAGGACTTGAGATCTTCAGTGACTTCCTGTGCTAACAGACTGGCACTCCAGCATCGATTGTTCTCTGGCTCCCATCGGAGAGGTCCTAGGATGTTGCTAATAGTAATGTCTAATACTTGAGATTCTTCCCATGATTAACGGCATTCACTGAAGCCAGAGAACTTCTCTGATATCAGCCTCTGTGTCCATCAAGAAGCGGCAGTCAGCCACCCTCAGTGTTGCTATGGTTCTTGTGGTGGCCCTGTTTGGGGCGGTTTGGAACCTTTGGGAAGGAAGGCTTAGGTGGATGTCGGCCAGCTGGGTGGATCTTGAGGCTTTTAGCCTTGGCTCTGCTTCTGGCCCCACTTCTGCTTTCTGATTGACACAAGGAGAAGGCATCATCATGAGCTCCTGCTGTTGTGAACAGCCCTCCTCCAACTTCCACCTCTTCTGCCACACAGTGAACTGTGTCTCCTTAAACCTTGAGCCAGCATAAACCTTTCTTCCTCAGGTTGTTCTGCCAGTGTTTCATTACAGAGATGTGAAAAGTAACTAGCCAGAGTCTGCCTTCAATAGAGCAAGGCAGAGCAGTATTTAATGGGCTGTTTAATGGATATTTTCCCCCTTGTGCCCATTATGGAAAGACACCATGACTCAATTCTTGGAATGTGCATCTTGCCTGTTGCCTTTTAAGAAAGGGAAACTCCACATCCAGGCAAAAGCCATGTTTTAAGTGAAGATGAAAGCCATATTTTTCTCCCTATAATACAGAGTAGAGGAGGGGAATGGGTCTAACATTTGAGGGTTTCTTTAGATAACTCAAGCATTTGAGTTTGATTTAAATGCCAGAATATACCATCCATATCTCTTTAGGATTTGTCTTGCCTCTGAAAGTTACTAGGATAATGGCCTGACTATTCAAAAGAATAATAATAATAATTTTTAAAACAATTTAATGACAAAATTCACAAGAGCACTAGAAAAATGTGAAGCATTATGCTATAATTCATATAGAAAAAACATTTTAGCAAAATTGAATTTCTAAATAAAAAAAGAGTATTTACAGTTTTGGATGTATACATATAAAAAACTTCCAGTATCAAACATCATTATTTATTTTCAAGACAAATGTCTAGTGGGGAGGCTCCTTAGCTGTCATGTGTGATGTAAGAGTTAATAATCTGCATGCATAAAGCGAGTCTGAAAGCCATCCAGGAAAGGATGAATATCCACAAAGGAAAACAACAAGCTGGCTCACACATGACTCAAGAGGCGAGGAATGGGGAGGAAAAGGCAATAGGAAATAAAAAGATGTTTTCCCTCATCTGTAATCAAATCCATGCAAATTTGCTGAGTAGCTTTCCTATCAATAAGACTGGAATGCATCAAAGCAACACAGAAGCGGACTATCCAGCTCTGAGTGGGTGGGGAAAGACTCTCTCTCAAACGCAGTCGGAGGGGACATTAAATTCTGGACCTTCTTCAGTGTGGACTGGTGATGCATCCCTAAACTACCAGTGTGCACTCTTTGACTCAGCAAGGCCAGGTCTAGACTATGTCCTGAGGGGACCATCAGGGAGCCTGACAGAGGTGTCTGCCGAAGCCCTGTTTAATGGGTGTGCTTTAGACCTCTGCACACGGAGTGCACTAGAGAACGGTGTTTTGTTAGTATTTCATGTTATTTTACATGCTTGAGTGCTTTGTCCACATGCATGTATGTGCATGCCTGGTACCTAGGGAAGACAAAAAAGCGTGAGTTGGATCCCTTGGTGGCTGTGAGCTGCCATTTGGGTGCTGCGAACCAAACCTAGATCCGCCAAAGCAAAAAAGATGCAGACTATCCAGCTCTGAATGGGTGGGTGGGGAGAGACTCTCTCAAACATAATCGGTTTGAGCAGCAAGAACTTTTAACTGGTAGGTCATCTCTCCAGCCTTTTATATCCTGTATACTATAATAAAGTTCACATATTAGCAAAGATCTATTATATTAATAGATAAGATTTTCATGATCTCTTGGCCCATGGAAAAGAATAGAAGTTTCTAGGGCAGCATATATACATAGTAAAACAAACAAACAAACAAAAAAACAAGGTGATTGCATACTGTTATTATCTGGAGACCTACTTTGTCTGGTGAGGCTCAGTGCCTTCCTCAAAATTTTATTCTCTGTCTGAACTTTGTCACTAAGGAGATATACCATATTTATGATCAAATAACAAAAATAAAGGTAAATAAGGTTGGTTTCTATTTGGGGGTAAATGGTTGCTTTTTCTCTGAAGAGAAGTGTTTCCATGGATACAGACATTTATCTACAGAGAATTTAAAGCATAAGGAAGTAAAAGGGAAGTTTTGAAGTGTTTCCCTTCATCTAGGGAAACAGGATGCTGAGTCTGGTCCCCAGTACTGTTCACATTTTAGCCTTTTCTGAAAGCTCACATTCTGTTCTTCTTGAATTCCCGCTGGCTTGCAATATGCAAATATAGTTTGGCTTCCCATGGGGCTCTTGGGTCACTTGAGGCGACTTTGACTGCCTGATCCTCCAGCCATGCTATGCCACTGAGTGGGGACCTCACTAGCAGGACACAGGCTCAGCAGCTGGCCCTGGTGGCCATCTCCTGCAGATTTTGGCATTTGCTAGACTCTCAGTTGTGATCTTGGGCTCAGCTTTATGATGCAAAGACAGATATCAGAAGTAAAACATCTATTTCAGTCTGGAGACTTTTTCAATCTTTGAAATTCTACAATTCTATATTTTTAAACTAGTTTTTGTTGTGTTTTTTTGCTAACTGGTACAAAACTATATTCAAAAACTTACTTTTTGTTGCCCAAATTTGAGGTCCCTATTGATTTCCTAGGCACTAGAAATAGATACTGGAGCAGGAGCTAACTTTCTATCGAGGTCACATCATTTAAGCTGGATCTGAGTAGGGAAAGTGAGGGTTGAATTGTCCAGTAAGAGGTTTATGCTAAAGTCGGCCAGGCAGTGGTGGCCCATGCCTTTAAATCCAGCACTCGGGAGGCAGAGACAGGCAGATCTTTGTGAGTTTGAGGCCAGCCTGGTCTACAAGAGCTAGTTCCAGGACAGGCTCCAAAGCTACAGAGAAACCCTGTCTCGAAAAACAAAACAAAACAAAACAAAAAAAAAGAGGTTTATGCTAAAGTCAAAAAATTAGCTGGTTTCTGCTTGTTAGAAAGTGACTGCACACACACCCTCACCAACCCCCCCCCCCACATACACAGAGCTCTCCGTAGTGCCTGGTGCCCTCAGAGGCCAGCACAGAGAGTTTTAAGCAGTTGTGTGCTGTTTGATGTGGGTGCTGAGAACCCAGGGCCTCTGCACAACTGTGGAGCTGTCTCACCAGCACCAGAAGGACCAACTCTCACAGGGTAAATGGTGATTTTTTTTTATTATTATTCCTTTCTAACAAACCAACCTCATATTAATTTTGGGTGGTTGCACGGTGTGAACTGCCTAATGTGCTACCGGAAGCACTAATGTAGCATAGCCTTTAATCTTATTCAGAGGTCATAGCATGATGTCGTTCACTTAACACACCACCTGTAATTTGGAAAATGTTATTATTTTTTTAAAAAAACAGCTCTTGAGGTTTTCATCCATAGTTTTTCAAATCAAGTTGATTCTCCCACATTTTGCACACCATCCAACCTCCCAAACTTAATATGAGGTTCTCTTTCTAGTGCGGTTGCAGACCAGCCACAAGGCTAACCAGCACAAGCCCAAAGTTCAAGGTGTTTACCTTCTAGAAAATATTTTCATATGACGAGGAAGGGGTTCTCACTGAATTTAGGGACGAGCTGGGGAGACAGGAAGTGGCCAATAGAACAAAAGAACCAACATGGAGAAAGGTGGTTTCTCCCGCCCTCTACCTGGAAGCTGTTCCCAGGGCCGTGATCCAGGCTTGGAAAATACCAGCAAAAAAGGAGAACGGGTTTTTTCTGGTCACTACAAAGTAAATCAAGGGGAGGAAGATGCCCCCGTGGATGATGAGGCCCACGATCACTGTGATCATGTACATCCCCAGTTGCCTAGCAACCACTTCTAAGTCCTTGATGGCGATGATCTTCCCACAGATCAGGCAGGCAATACCCAGCGGGGAGTACCTGAAAAACACAAAAGGAAACAATAGCGGTGAAGAGGTCGTTAAGCTAGCGATTCAGGACCTAAATCCCACCTGGGGGCTGCACCTGCTGAAAACCCTCCCTCTTTTTATTTTTTTGTTTGTTTGTTTTTCTGCACACACACACACACACACACACACACACACACACACACACTGTTTTGCTGAGAATGAGCACAAGATTCAGTACTTTGAACTGACCGGCTTAACTGTTTTATGGACTGTGTGACGCATGTTCTGACAATTTAAGCGCCAAGGCAAACTTTATTGCTACGGTGAGCTTCAGGATAAAGGAGGCATGCCTTGCGCCTTTTAGCTTATCTTTCTGCAAACACTAAGTTGAAGGCTGAGAGAGATGAAATGTGCCTCTGGAAACTTGTTTCTTCAATGCCTTCCTAGAATTTGGGGACTAACTTGTGGAACTTTCTGGAAATGTACAAACTGGGATTTGTAAATGTCCATCTTTTTTTTTAAAAAAAATTGGATGTTAGAAAATATGTTTAAAATAATGGAGTAACCAGGAAAAAGGGAAGGAAAAAGAGAGATGCCAAAATAAAAGCCCCTGAACCAAGGAGTGCATTTAGAGAAACGTAGTTTGGTGACTTTTAAGCCTGAAAGCCTTTCTCCCCATATAATAGCAATAATGCTGGCACTGTTCGTTGTGTTTCAGTCACTATAGCAGGGCCTGCACACTCAGAACCTCACTTAACCTGACCACAACCCTAAAAGCTGCCCTTCAGTATTACCACTTAGAAATTAAGGAAACAGTCCTTTGGAAAAAACAATCACTAGTCCAAGCCCACAAAGCCAGGAGGAGAACCATTCCCGCGTACAAAAGCCCAGACCGTGGGGGTTTTTCTGACCAAGCCAAACAGCTTCCCTTTAGTGCACCGTCCCAGTTCCTTGTAGCTAAGCGTACAATTGCCATATACCAATTTATGCCATATTGACATTTGTATGCTGTCGTTATCTTATAGAGGGGCTTAGAAACTGTTCTGTTCCTCTTCGTGGGAAAACTCACTCACCTTGACTTGGTTTTTGCTATTCTTTATTATAATTAATTATAATAAAAATCAGCATTAGTATTATTTAATAGAGGCATTGCTGGACGTGAAGTTCACACTCTCATAGTGTCCGATGAAATAAGATATTTGTAGGAAGATTTATAACTCATTAACAATTAAATTTAAATCTTTAATTGTTAACTTTTGAGAATAACTAAGAAGAAAATAAAATCCCCAGATAGGGATTCCAATGGGGAAGGCAGAGGTGAGACTCTCTCTCTCTCCTTCCTTCCTTCCTTCCTTCCTTCCTTCCTTCCTTCCTCCCTCCCTCTCTCCCTCCCTCTCTCCCTCCCTCCCTCTCTCCCCTCCTCCTTCCCTCCCTTCTTCCCTCCCTCCCTCCACCTCTCCTTTCCTCCTTTCCTTCCCACAATCAGGCCTGGCTCCATTCCTTTCCTAAGTTTAAGAAAGGCTGTGGAGAGCAGATGCAAGTCCTTAAATACAGAAAACATGGACTTAGTCAAACCTTTCACCCACTAAAGAACTTCATTTGGGGACATATTCTCATTTTTCCACCGTGGGCATCAGGGTTAGGGGGCTGACTCCACCATCACCAAGTAGCTGTGAAGCTCACCCACACATGTGCATCTATGTACACACTGCCGAATTCCCTCCCCCATCCTTCTCAGTTTGATTCCTGACTCTTGGAAACTTTCACAACAGCTTCTGATAGCACAAACTTGGGCAACAAGGCCTCTCCTGGGCCTTGCCTTTTCATCCAAGTCTGAGCTAATGAGGCTTTCTAAAACCTCTCACAGGCTGCCCAAGGGCAGATGGTCTTCTGAGCAAGCCTTGTTCAGAAAGAGCCAGGTTATGTCTGACAGCAACGGAGTAGAGGGTTAGTGTAGCTCTGCTCTTCCGGGTGGAACTTCCAGCCTGATCCTCACTGGCTCTCCCCTGGGGTGCAGGCTGGTCATGGCTGGGCACAGCTTCCCTAGACGTTAATAGGAGTGTGAAACAAGCATTCCGTCATGTCATTTAACCCTCCTGTTTCTTTCCATTTGATATTCTTCTGGTGTGCCCATTGTCACAACATCTCATAAATCAGCAATGGAGCCCCAGGGGTCAGCACTTTGTCGCTGAGACTGTAAATAACTGGAGAGAACCCCGAAGGGTTTATCTTCATGAACCAAGAGGTCAGTTCTTTTCCAAACACCAGTCACCCTTTCAAGCTGTCCAGAGAAGCAAAGATATGAACTGTCTGGGATGCTAGTCAGTTTTCTCTCACCCCGCTCCTCTCCCCAGGTCAAGTAATCTGCAGAATGGAGGAAACACGCTTTGAAGGCACTTCGCCACGGAAGATCAGCTGCAAAATTCCCCAGGGGCAGTACGTTTGAGCCATGGGCAGATGGGCTAGAGAGAGGCAAGGCAGGAGCACCCAGCAGGTGGAGTTTGGGCAGAGGGGGTAAACACCAGCTCCCATTCTAGATAGAGAATACTAACCAAATACCACAAGGTGAAGCGTAAGGGTTTGAGAATACAGAAGACAGAATATGGAGTAGCCCTTGCTACTCCAAACACTTGCCCGCCCCTAATTGGATGAATATTAATGGGGGTGTAAACGAGCCTTTGCCCTTGGACTTAGGCCGTTACTTCCCTATGCCTGACTTGAGCTGTATTCCTGGGCCTCCGCTATTAATGAATGAGCTCACTGTAGATGAGAGTCCATGGGAAAGAAAGGGGGAAATGCCCAAAGTCCAACGCTACCACTCAAAAAACGCCTGAGCTGAAGCGATGAAGACCGTAATTAAGTGCAAATAGAGGCTTCAGGCTCCACCCAACAGTTCTGAAGCCAGTGACACCCAGTAATTACTGGGTCCGCTTCCAACTCAAGACACAGTCATTAGGACAGAAGTAGGGAATGATTCCATGTAACCCACAGGTGGGTTGTTTTCTCAGCTCTGTGTTCTGTTTACAAGGGCACTGTGCCCCCCAAGCTTCTTGGCACAAATCAATGAAATCCAAGCCATGAGTGGTCCCCGGAGCCCCAGAGGCTCTGACTCCTGTCTGCCTCACCCCCTTCATTCACCATCACTTCCCTCATTCACCATTTTAGCCATTCTCACTCCAGTGGCTCCACAGCTTGGTTCTGATGCTCAAATGTCTTCCCCTCCTGGCTCCCTCTCCTCAGAGTTCACCTCTCAATTCACTGTGCTGTCTGTCAGGTCTGGACCGTGTCTTCTTCCCACACATCCTGGTCACTCAGGCCTACTTCCTTCACTCTTGACCCTGCACCCTGCTTTTGCTGTCCATGTCCCTAACTGAATTCGTGTTTGTTTCCTTTAGTCTGGTTCCCTTCCCGCCTTTCACTAGAATCTGAGGCCCACGGAGGCCGGAATCCTCTGTGGTATTCACTGTTACACCACACCACACCATCATCAATTTAGAAAGGATTGAGTGAAAGAACAAATGACAAATGGACTGAAAACAATTCTTTGCTTTACCAAACTTTAGATCCCTCCCTCATTAGGCTCTATTTGTCTCCTTCCTTTAAAACACTGTTTCCACAGAGACCCCCACCAACTCATTTAGGAAGCATCCCATCCTCAGCGTGGGGCGCTCCATCTCTGACCAGGCTCCTCATGGTCCACCATCCCCTATGTGGTATCTGGCTAACCTGGCCTGACTTCAACATGAATCCTGCTAGGCCCTTAGCAGAATCCCCCTGACTCGATTATAAATTCTCAGCTTCACAGTACAGTTGGGTCTGAGCCTAGCCGCTCTCCATCACTGTGAAAGTACATTGCTGCGGTCTCTATCCCCTTTGGGGCAGCCCTGCAGAAAGCTACCCTCCCTGGCTCTTTAACGGTATGGACAGTGGAGGACCAGCGGTCAAGCGGTAGAAATAAAGAAAGGGCAGACCCCTCTTTCTCTAGTAGAGGAAGACTGTGAGAAGTTTTGCTTCCTGTTTAAGTTTTTCAGGGTTTGGGAAAAAAAATTTTAAAGAATTTTCAAAAAGTTAAGTTATAGAGCATTCAGTAAAACCAGGGGGTTTTCAGACTTCTTAAAGACTTACTACACACAGAGATGCAGGAGATAAGGTTAGATTGATGGTGATAATGGTCACCACAGAATAACCGCAGGCCTATTCGCAGAAAGGCTGTGATCCTTTGGGGACAGAACAGTTTCAATGACTGGGGTCACCATTTTACCTAATTCTCGAAGCAACTTCGTGACATGGATTTTACAATTATTTTCATTTACTAATCAGAATATTAGAATTTAAATGGGTCTAACGTGCTTAAGGTCGCATAGCTTGTCGCCAAAAGCTCTTAGATTTCATCTACTTCGGACTCAGGAAGACACTGAGTTAGAGACAGCTGGGTAGCACAGCTTTGCAGCCTTTGTGCTTAGTGTTGGCATCTGGGAAACGGGCTACTGAAAGCATCTATTTTGTTAGGTACTACTAGGATGAAAAAGGGTGAATGTGGAAAGTTAACAGATTAATACCAAGCATATTGAAAACTACCAGAAAGTCTAGCTATAATTTAGTGACGATAATTTTTTAATAAATTAGTTAATTAATAATATAATAATTGAAGTTGAACACAAGACAAGATAAAAGTCATTCCGGCTTACATTTTAATGATCATAATTTTTAAGCCAGATATGGAGGTGCATGCCAATACTCAGAGGGCGGATCAAGTAATAATCTTCCTTGGCTATACAGCAAGTTTAGCTGGTTAATACTAATAATACAAATTATATTATCTTCACAATGAGTTTTACACAAAATAAATACATAAAAATTTAGCATCACCTGAGGAGCTGAAGAGCCAGCACCACTACCAAAGGGAACTCCATATTTTATCACCATCCCCTAACCCCTTCTCATTTTAAAAGTTCAATGAGGTGAACACGGCAGAACTAATATTTTGTTATCTTATTGAGCTGAAACCTCAAAGCCTCCAGTTGGCCTCCCATTCCTCAAGTTTTAATGAGACTCAACCACAGACACATCACTACATTTGGCTGTGGGGAGATAATGTGAATTTCTCTTAATTCTCAGGTTACGGAATGTTATTATCCTACTGATTTTGCGTTCCGTCACTTAGTTTTATTTTCTTAGCCATTTCGATGAACTGAATATATTGCCTCCCCCTTTTTAAACGTTTAAATCCTAATACTGGACACATAGAAGTGGACCTTTCAGAGGTGATTGGACGGCAATTCCAATGAATGAGTAAGACTGGGGTCTACTGATGTTCTGTCCCCCAGATTCCTGTGTGTTGAGTCATAACCTCAGAACGGTGGTTTAGGAGACAGGTCACCTGGAGGTGAGCCCTCCTCAGTGAGATTAGTGTTTAATAGAAGAGCCGTGGTGAAGCCCATTCATTTCTCTCACCATGTGACGGCACACATAAAGAATCAACTACAAGGACCAGCCCCTCACCAGATACCAAGTTTGCCAATGACTGATTATGTACTTGCCAGTCCTCCGATCTGTGGTTTTAAAAAATCCTTTGTTTGTAATTTCACCTAGCCAGTGGTATGCGGCTCCAGCAGCAGAAGCAGACTAAAGCCATGCTCTCTAGGGAAGAGACCTGGGATGCTCCCTCTATCTCCCCTGGGCTGTTTCTTTCCCAATTAAGATGAATGTGTTCGGAGCTGATCACACAGACAGACACCTTGATCAGACTTCCAGTTTTCTGAGCTGGGAGAAATATCTGGGGTGCACAAGTACCTTAGTGTTAGCATGTCGTTACAGCAGCCAGAGCTGGGATGAACATGGCAAACAATAAAGCCCGTTCTCAAAGGAAAAACACATCAGATTTGGCCCAGTGACCACCACTGTGGAACAAAAGGGAAGCAAGAGGGAGTGGAGGAGAATTTCCACCTTCTCGGTATCATGCTGGTCCACACCCACTCTTTTCATCCTGGGAGGACGCCACTGTCCTCTGCGGACCAGGCTCTGCCCGGCACCATCAAAATGTCAGACCAAGCAGACTTACCACATGATCATGATCACTAACTTCATCACGATCTCATTGAGGATGTTGAAGAACTCCACCATCAGTTTGGCCTGCTCGCCCATCTTCCCCATGGCAATGCCGAAAGCAATGAAGAACCCTATCAGACCTGTGGACAAACGACAGATGAGTCAGGACAAACGTCAAAGTCTGTGCTTTCTTTCTCTTGCACTTCAGCATGAATGAAAGGGAGTCAATTCTGCCTACCAGTCACTGCTGAACAAATTAGGAATTAGAAGGAAAAAGCATTATATTTCACACTGAAAGCCACCCCACCCCTGCATCATGTAACTGTTGCTTTTCTTGAGATTTTTCACATGGGCAGACCAAACTCTAAGCAGTTCAAGTGTGAATTCTGTGAAGAAAATGAATTCATTTTCATTCCAAAATGAAAGGTGCCATCTTCTCTTCCTCCTCACTTAACAAATCCTGTGGGAACAGCTCCCATCATCACCCAGACCAACCGAGAGCAGCCTGTCGGGACTCGGGGATTGCCATGCAAACTCTGGAGCCACTGTTGGAACAGCAGAGACCAAACAGTCCATAAAGTTCTTGTTGAAGAAACGTGGAGACCATTTTGGTGTTGTTCTGAGATAACTCATGGGAGGACACTTCACCCTGGGACTACCCTCCAGCTACACAGCAAGGCAGAAGGAAGAGCGATAAAACAGGGGACAAGAAACCCAAACTTGTGGGGAAACCCCAACTAATTGCCCTTTTAAAATTCAACTTGCCACGCTTTCCTTTCTCAATCTGTTTTAGGATGATAAAGCCAGAATGTAGGGCTGATTGTCAGATCTTGCCAATACCTACCCTCTCGGCCATCTTCTCTTTTTACTTGACAGCCTAGTTCAATCACACATCAGCCTCCAGGGTCAATCCTAACCCGAGGCAGGATGGATCTGAGGAACTCGCTCCCTGCTGCTCTCTCTTGATAGAAGCCTCATTTCACCACATCCTGAAGCAAATTCAACACACAATCCCAGGCCTTTTGCGTCTTCACCTGTCTAAGGACCTGGTAACCTGCCCTTGTTCTTTAGATCCTCAAAGGCCAAGCCTGGAGTCTATTTCCAGAGATTCACTCCCACCCCCCACTGCACCCCCAGTATCTCACCTCACACACTGGAGACTGAGCCCACTATGTGGCTATCAGTAGACTCAGTACTACTTGGGGACTGTCCAGTTGCTCGGCTGCAATCAACATGTGCCCCTGGACCCGTGACCCATCCCTATTCTTGGTGACGTAGCTCTGACTGCATGCATGGAGTGCAAATCACAGTTATTCTCCCAGCGACAGAACGTTGCTTGTTCATTTGGCTTATTCTCTGATTCTGGGGTACTGGCCATCTCCTAGTTCCTCTCTTTCCATCCTCTTCTTGACCCTGCCATGCCTCAGTTTAGCAGGGCCTAATTTCAAGTCTTTCCTGAATTTTGGTTTATGTTGGATCAATCACAGCATTATAATTAAATTCTCCTAGACATAAACTCCTTCTTTCTGAACCTCTGGCTTTACCTTCCCCCCCCCTCATCCCCCAATGCCACCCTTCTTCTCTACACCAAACCTTCATCAGCCTCGTTAACTATACTTGCTAGGATCCCATCTCTCTTTAGTGAAAATAATGCAGCCCTTGTATTCAGATGGCTAACATTTGAAATTTAATATCTTCCCTTCTTAGCTGTTGACCAGAGGGAATGATTAGTGACTTCACAATTGAGTTATTGACCCAGGGAATACGAGGCTCAACGAAGACTGAATGCAGGATAGAATGAGCTAATTTTGCAATAATATGGAAAACTGGGTCCCAGTTCTTCCTCCACCCATGCAGGGCAGCTTGCTGGGTATGATGACAAAGAGGCCATCTGTGGAAACTCAGGCTGAGAAGGCCAATTATTACTGAGTTAATACTGTTGATAATGTAATATGCAAAGTCTTAAAGTCCCAAAGAAAAAGAATGAAGACACTCTTCAGAGACAGCAGACACTTTAGTATCTATGACTTTATAGAAAACAAAACAAAACAAAACAAAACAAAAGGTTTTTAAAGGAGCAGTTGACGCTGGTTTAAGCAACTGGAGTTAAGTTAGGGATTCAGAATAGTTTTGGGAGTTCATCTATTTAGCTGATTTTTGAGACTAGTATTGATTTGTAACTCAAGTTGGTCTTTGACTAATCATCCTCCTGTCTCAGTCTTCTAAATGCTGGAATAACAGGTATGCTATACCACACATTGTAGCTCTTAGGAGAAAAACTCGTCCTTGAAGAAGTGGAAGACAGAGCCTGGGTTTTATCTTCATGTATTGCAAGGCTCAGTCCTTGGGACTTTCCAAAAATCAAAGAGCAGAAATACAGAAAAACAAAACAAAAAACAGAGTCACTGACTCTGCCCTTGCAAGGCCACGGAAAGAACCTTATTTCAGTTGTGACTGGCAAATGGGAAGTTTCTCAACAATCTAACTTCCCTTGGCTTCACAGTGCCTTGCTGTGCACTTGGATGGAATGCCGCCATCCAGCCTGCCATTTCCCCGGGTAAACATTGCCTAATTGAAATTGCTCACTGGAACAGGGGTGTTTCATGTGAACAAAGCCCTCTTAGACTTGGTTGTTGGGGTTGAGTGAGTTGCCAGTGTTTTGAAACTCCCAGGCACAGCCAAAGGTCACGTGACTTTCTAGAATTCATCAAGACTCTGGAAAAGACAAGGGCTAAATGATTCACTCCAAAATATCAGCCTGTTAGACCTTCAACCTTCTGGAGAGGAGGGCTTCCTTTGTCAAGGAGGTGGTATTGAAAGTTACGACCCACCAGAAGGAGCGCAAAGAGCTGAGAAGGCCCCGAGAAGCAATGTGGATCTCTTTCCAGTGGGGAGAGAGATTGCTGGCATACCTGCAAAGCCTCCACCTCACAGGGCCTCCCACACTTCCTCCTCCTCCCTCAATGGCCTCTCCCTGATTCACCTGTGCTTGCTGATCGCTGGTTGCCTGGTAACCCACTTAGTGTATCTCCTCCCTCACTCTCACCTATCCAACCTGCTTTCTTCCAGGTCAAACACACAAACATCACTTCAGCCCAGCAGTCACAGAACTGCCTGCTGCTCTGCCACCCACTCTCTACACGGATGTCCATGGCAAAGGACCACCAAGCACAGAAAAATCAGTCAAGCAGAACTCCCAATCATGTTCCGAATTCCAGATACATATGAACGTTTTTTTTCTTTGTTTTAGAATAGCCCAGGTACTTGGGACATGCTTACACTAAATTACTGTTATTGCCCTAAAATTTAAGTTTACCTGATAACAGTCCAAGGAGATAAGGGCACTGATCTCTGAGATGACAAAGGGACAGGATCTCCGTGCTCACCCATCTAAACAGTTCTCGCCTGAGTCCCTAGAAACCTTGTTTGCAAGATCTTGCTTACAAATTCCTATCTCTCCATCTTCTGGATAAATGTCCCATTTTCCTGACATCATAGTATTGGTGAGTGGTGGAATCTGAGGTGTGTGGGCCCAGCCTGGAGCCCTACGGTGGTTGAGTGGGTAGTAGAACTGGGCACAATTGGAGCCGATCCCATGAGGGAAGCCTCACCCCCGCACTTGGTGAGATGTTTTCTGGTTGAGCTCTTCCTCGGTTCTTCTTCTACTTTTCATAATGACCGGAGCGTGTCTGAACAGAACTTGGGGCATGTGCTGGTGTGCTCATTTCACAGCTACAACGGCCGGTCTGCGAAACCCATGTTCATGCCATTATCAACTTTCCTGCAGAGGCTCAAGAGGAACAACTTGCCTAGGAGGTAGCAAGCTAAACCCTAAACCCCACATTTGTCCAGCTGAAGAGAACCTTTGGATGGTGGGGAGAAGGCACCAAGCTTGAGGAGGGAGGTTCCTGAGGTCCTAGAAAGTTAAACACAATGCTCTACAGTGCCCCTTTGTTCCCCAATCTAATGCTGGCCAATACTGGTAACTTTGCTTTTTTTTTTTTTTTTTCATAGATAGGAAGCTGGGATGGGGCAACCACCAAGGTGTTATTGCATAGCAACATCTAAAAAAAAATTCTTAATAAACCAAAGATAAGGATATCTTATTTCATAAACTGGTTGGTGCCATAAGGGGAGTTGACAGCACCAGACAGAGTCAAGGAACGCGCCTGACAAGTGTCAGCCCCTTCCTCTGTTCCCATTCCTCATCTCCGACTGCCATGTCCCTTTGGGGTCTCCCTTCTGCCCATCCTTCTGTCCATCTTCCTTCACCACTCAGCTCAGTCTCAATGACCCTCATTTGCTTCCCCAGACAGAGCCTCCTGCGCCACCTAGAGGTCATCAGAGTTACTGCGTCCTCTGAGAAGAAAGCTTGGGAAAAAGCTGAGGGAAGAAGGCAACAACAACCAGTTTACCTACCCAAGACATTCATCCCGTCTTTGAACTCCAGGCCCTTCTTTATAATGATCTTAGTTTCTTCGGGGGCCTCGTTCATGGTTTCATTCAACATGGAGATGACCGCCTTGGTTGTATTGGCCTCCTCGGCCTGAGGTGTCACCAGGACTTTCTTTGTCACAGTCTGAATCTAATGGAGCAGGGAGGAAAAAGCATACAAGTGAGGTGTGGTCTAAAAGGTCCAACAACGACCCAGCCAACCACATATCTTAGGGTTCCCAGTATGCTAACTACAACTACGAAATGCCAGAATGAGGCTAATAGAAGTGGGAAACAATTTATGTTTATGCTCAACAGAGTGTTAGCTCATTGTATATGCAGTAGGGTGCAACTGTCCTACTGACAAGGCTCTTAAATGATTTATGAAATTCGTTTGCAGTTGCTGAAGATGGGGGATAGGTGTCCCTCTTTTCCTCCCATGATAACACCTTGCTTGGGGGATGACAACATGTGTTCAACTCTGATGCTCCTCCAATCTGTGAGAGCCAGTTAGATAGTCCTTCTGCTGTACAGCGTCACCAGAAGCCTGTCCTGGGCCTTCAGTCTTTCCCAAACCAGGCTCTGTTGGAATCTGGACATCGGGGTGACAGCTGCCAATAATCCAGGGTCATGTGATTCATATGTAAGGTGGGAAAACATCCCCTTCTTTCAGGCAGCGAAGTCAGCTAACCCTTGCCCAACAATCCCCAAGTATCTCTCAGGCTATTCCTCGACATCCGTGGAAGTGGTTCTAATTTTAAAGGTGTCAGGCATCCTGCGTGCAAAGATTCACATCTTAGCCTCAAAAAATACCACTTTCGAGGGCACTAAAATAGAAACCATTCAACATCCTAGAATGTGGGTGCTGGCACACAGAGGTGACAGATGGCTGAACTTTGAAGAGATACAGAAAGGGATGCTTGGAGAAGTCAGCTGACGTTCCAGACGTCACAGTTGTCAGCAGAGCTGACACGTGAACTCAGATGGCCTGACCACCACTGAGTTCCACCCACCTCCTGCACCCTATGCTAAGTTATGTGGACTTGATCCTTCTGTGGCTGGGTTTGACCGTTGGCCATGCAGAACTGGGATGACAAGGGCAGGAGAGAAGGATGAACAGGCTTCTATAGGAGGTGCTAGGGGTCTTCCATGTTAACCTGGCCACATGTGTACGGGGTAAGAGGACCCAAGTGGCTACACAAAGAGATGGTGACCCAAGTTCTGAGAAATAGCAGCGTGAAGAGAAAACACAGAAGTGGCCAGAAGGGACACTTCTGGATGCAGCTGCCAGGCTCTGAGCCACGAAGGTGGTGACTCATCCTGTGAGTGGTGAAGAAGCCAAAGCGTGGTTAATCTGAAGTGATTATCAAGAACTAGGTAAATCGTGACCGTCAGGATCAGGTAGGAGGCCGGGAGTTAAAGGCTTAGCATCAAGTATGTCCTATAAGTAACCCAAGGCTTGATTTTCAGTTAGTCAGTGAAGCTAGATTCAGCATGAATCATGTTTGACTCCAAAATCTGCTTTCAAACAGCACAGGAAGGGGCTTCAGTTGGAGCCGAGGAGAGAGGGACACGGACTGGCTCACTGGTCAGGTCTTCTGCCTGAGGTCTCACAGAGCCTGCTGTGGTTGGGCCATCTGAATACCTAGGACCTGAGCACAACTTCCCAGCATCCCTTACCTAAAAACTTGACGCATGCCTCCTAATTCACCTCCACACCTTCCTTCCGCCAGCCTCTCACATTCAGCTACCTGTAGCTTTTTCTGTACCCACAGCTGTTGCTCTGGGTATTTTTCAGTAGAAAACCAGTCATTCCTTGACACAATCTTCCTAAGAATAAGAATGTGAATTTGTCCTGGGTCCACTAGCAACTGCTTGAGCTGAGTTCAGCCTTCCTCCATATGACAGGAAACATGTGGAAACTTAGGTCCTCTCAGGCAGCCCTGAACAACAGGCAGGGGCCGCCTTGCTTTTACATACACAGGGACTGACTCGAGCAAGTAAGGATGACCAAAAACTGCCTGCAGTCTAGGAACTGGTCTCCTTCCTCTCCACATCTGTTTCTAATCTGGTCAGGAATTCCCCTTCACTCAAGACAGGCAATTTTAAAATACTCCCTGCCAGGCCACAGGAACCCAGAAAGGACTAGTGACACCCCTTCTCCTCACCTCTGTCAATGTTACTCTGTAAGAATGGTCGCCTCTGGTCAAGGCCCTTGGAGCCACGGTGAGGATCTATACCCACTCTCCCCTCAAGGTAGAGTACTATTCTTCCCCACACTGCCCCAACTCAAAGCGACCTTGACCCAGGCCTTAGCTGGGGGAAGCAAAGCTCAGTGAGCATAGGAAGAAGCAGGATGGTGGCAGGATGATCCTGATAAGGTCTTCTATCCCCTAGAGTTCAAATAGTACCCTTTGCCGTGGGGTAGAGATCATCACCACCCAGGAACGAGCCCAAATGTGAATGCAGCCAACACCACAGAAGCTGAACCCTATAAGAACAGAGCAATAACTCTGCATTATAGGGCTTTCTGGTCTTGTTTTCCAGGCTGAAATGAAGGTATCTGGGATGTGACCAGGCACAGGCAAGAGATCAGCTCTGTCGGATCTCTCATACATCCCCACCTGCCCTTTCTTAGCTAATTTCCCAGGATTCACAAAGTACAAAACTCACATCTCAAAATGTTCAAAATAGACTTGGCTGTCACTTGTACCTACCACTCCAAAACAAGCAGCTTCATCCTCCTAGGTGAGGCTAGCAAGCAGATGAACAGGGGACCCTCAGTATGGTTCCTTCCTCAGCCTGTAGTCACTCTACAGTCTACTTGCCTTGTCTGGAACAGTGTTCTTTAACATAGGTCCACATTGACTTAACTATACATATTCATGGTGTGTAATGGAATATTTACATACAAGAATAGACAGTGATAATGATCCAATCAAGGTGAGGAGTACATCTCTCATTTTAAATATTCATGTCTTTATCAAATGCCATTTGGAAATCAGAAAAACCCATCCCAGCCTGCTATGATGTGGGTTCAGTGGGAGTTGGCACTGCATATGGACGGCTGGAAATCCAGATTTTTTTCCTAAGCTGCCTGTCTCATAACTTCATTCTTCAGGGGTTCCCTGAGAAGGGCTGAGGGAGACATATGGGGTCCAGTTTAGTATTTTCATGAGTTAAGGGGAGTGATGTGTGTGCCCACCTAAGCTGGCCCTGAGGAAAGAAAGCAGGGCAGTGAGTGTAGCCTTGGCTGGTGGCTCCATGGCTTCACTTAACAGAATTACCTGTTTTTAAAAGAAATAAAAGCGTGTGTGTGTGTGTGTGTGTGTGTGCGCATGTGTGCATGTGTGCACGCCCTGGTATGGGTATGAAAGTGCATGTGGAGGTCAATAGTTGATATGAGCATCTACCTTGATCTTTCTCCCTCTTCTGTTTTGAGACAGGGTCTCCCAGTGAACCAGGAACTTGCAAATTCAGCTACCCTAAGGATCCTCCTATCTCAGCCGCCCCAGGGCTAGGATTATAGATGCATGCTGTTTTCACAATTACAAAGTTATCCTCGGTCCTCTGTTCATCATGAGGACGGATTACAGATTCTCATTTTGTAGGCTATGGAGTGCATAGAGCTTTGAGGTAGTGTTGAGAACCAGAGGGCAGTTCAGAGGCTTGTGAGTAAGACCGATAAGAATGTGCTCATGTGCAACTCGAAGGCGGGAACAAGAAGGGAAAAGGGAGGGGTGAGTCGCGGAGTGACAGGATGCAGAGAACCATGGTTCTGGAGCCACTTGACTCCAATGCTAGGATCCCTCCCCAGAGCACTTGGGCATGGCAGGGGTAAATAAAAATTAAGACAACTGCTCTTCAGAGTTGAAACTGTCTCTACGCTACCACGCACTAGGTGGGACACTGGACAGGGATGGGTTACCTGTTGGAAACATGCTTGCACCAGGTTCTCTGGGAAGAGATTTCTAATGAGATCCAGGAAGGCGTCCAGGCTAGACACCTCGTCATTCTTCTTCCCAGGCCCCAGCTGCTTCTTGAGTTTGGGATTACCAGGGTGGATGGCCAATACCAGGATGACTCCCAGCACAGCGGCAATGATGGTCGTGGACATGTAATATACCATGGCTCTTGTACCTAGGCGGCCGCTGGCTTTAGCATCCAGGCCTGACAACCCTGGGTTTAAAAGAAATTCAGAAAGATCAGTTCTGTTCTTTTCTACCCATGACCTCATCCCTACACATCTGCAACCCCTGGTTTTCTGTCGTTCAGTTACATGTGGTCAACTAACACTCTTCCAACTAAATATGTAACCAATTCTACACTTTACAGTTCTATTTTCTAGTGATATTTTTTAGATTCTTTTTTTTTTCCAAGACAGGGTTTCTCTGTGTAGCCATGACTGTCCTAGAACTCACTCTGTAGGTCAGTCTGGTTTTGAACTCACAGAAATCTGCCTGCTTCTGCCTCCCAAGCTCTAGGATTAAAGACATGTGCCACCATCGCTTGGCACTTTTTGAGATTCTTGAGAGCTGGGGAGAGTTGGTGACAATTGGCTCATAGTTTACAGATAGCTATATGATGTACACACCATCAGTCAGTATCACATATATGAAAATATTGTTGAATAGTTTTCCATTTTTAAATCCAAGGTACTATATTTTCCATTTTTGTGACCTTAAGCATCTTCTCTGGAGTGATGGTCTAGCCTAGGCTAGTGTTTCACTTGTGTTACCATTGCTATTTATTGTCCTTACTTAGGAGAATCAAAAGCTGGTACATCAAGGTCGTGTTCACATGTCTTTAAAATATATTACTAGAGTCTTAAATGGAGAGTCAGCATGGCCCTCCCATCTCCCTGTGCTGAAACATGGTGGCCTCATGTGTAACCTCATGTGGCTATCGGAGAACACGTGTAAGAAGCAGCTGCCAGCAGCGTGTGTGGCATCTGTCCAGAGTGAGGTGAGAGGAAACCCCAAGTTAAGTCACACAGACCTCAGCCCAGTGGGTTTTTTCTCCAGATGCTTTCTCAGTGTGCCCACTTCCTAGTTTCAGTTCCTGCCTCTGCTGAGCAGAGAGATTGAGCCCCTTTCTGGGGATAGGCCCTTTATCACATGGGGGAGGAAGTTGGTGTGAATTTCTCTGAATCAATCTGACCCATGTATGACCCACATCTCTCTACAACCCAAAATCTAATTCTGGGCAAAGGAAGTCAGGTCTCTCCTAGCTGCCCTGTATGAGATTTGCTGAACAGGTCAGGAGAAGATTTTCTCTGGTTCTGAGAGATTCACTCAACCCAGGGTTTAATGATTGCAAACTCACTGGGTCCCTAAACACTTGAACCTGAGACCCGGTGTTTCTGGTGTGAGGCTGTGGGGCAACTGGTCCAGCATCTGCATCAGCTGAAGTTATTGAACCCTGCTTCTACAAGGGGGCTCAGCTCTCAAGGTCACCTGGCTCACCAATTCCTAGCTACAAACCAGCTTGGCACCTCTCACTCTTTTTCTCTGTTTCTCTGTAGCTTTGGAGCCTGTCCTGGAACTAGCTCTTGTAGACCAGGCGGGCCTCGAACTCACAGAGATCCACCTGTCTCTGCCTCCTGAGTGCTGGGATTAAAGGCGTGAACCATTACTGCCTGGCTGGCACCTCTCACTCTTAATTCCAAAGTAGTCACTAAGCAATGCAGCATACCCTGTTTCAATAATATTGTCTGGTGAGAAGAAAATTATCAGCATGAGTTCAAACATAGGAAAAGCTCAAATCAATTAGTTCTTTTAGCGCAAAAGTTAGAAAGTATGTTTTCACATATTCAGGATATAATCTTTGAAAACCCCTCAGCTTTTATGCCTAGCATTTAATCTCTTCTCAATTCATATCTTCCCATATACCCAAGTAAATAATAAAGGCAGTGTACTTTTTCAGTCCCTCCACCAGTTCCTGAATAAAATATATTTTTGGAAATAATAAAAATGAAACAACAAGATACCACCACTATTAATACATAGTTGTTCTTTTATAGCTTTGTCTGTTAGAAGGAAAGGCAGAGTGAATGACGGATGGTAACTTTTTCTTTTTTAGGATCAAAGATTCATATCTTAGAAACAGAAGGAAGTTCAGAAATGCAATGCCCACAACTGCTGACTCAGCCCAACAGAAGCTCTGCTTCCAGCCCAAAGCCCGGGCAGGGCTATGCTGCCCTTTGGGCAGGCACCAGGAAGGAGCGCTCACCTGTGATTAGACTGGAGATGATGAGGGGGAGGATGAGCATCTTCAGCATCCTCATGAGGATGTCCCCCGGGAAGGCTATCAACATGACCACATCAGGGTGGATGGGAGACGCCAGACGGAGCAGCCCGCCACATACCGCCCCCAGGATGACACCTGGTGAAGAGGGGAGAATGGAAAGCTGATCTCAGGTTTTGTCCTCGTCAGGTGAACAACTCCACAGACTCCTCTCCCTGGTTTTCCTTCCCATATGTCCACCTAACGGACTATGAACACCACAACATAAAGACCCGATACATGGAAAAAAAATACCGCTTCCCCTGTCATTAAGAGAATGAAAGAGCTCAAATTTTGAAACTTGACATATCTGGATTTGAAGCTGAATGTCCTGTGGATTTTAAAGTCTATCCCAACAGAATGGAATAGACACTCCCATCCAGTTATAATTAATAGCTAGCGCGATGCCTCTGGGTACAGCTTCAACTGTCCTAACACTAGGAGAGTCCAGAGAACATTTTCAGAACCCCACGGGGAGAAGTAAAGACTTGACTCCGAAATCTTTTGAGATATTGATTGCATGTAGCATCACAAATTCTCACAAGAACCAACTCCCAGCAGGCAGTGTCCTTTCTTCTCTCAGTCGGATCTGGCAACATGATCTGGCATTTGATGTGTATCTTCCTTCTTTACTGGAGGTCAGAGACAGACAGGGCTCTAATGATCTATAATCTGGGAGGAGCCAAGTTGAACGAAGATGCTGGCAGAGATGCTGTTTGCTGCACGGACTCCTACATTCCACAGAAAAAAATCTTAGACCATTGAAAATAAGCCACAAAAGCAAAAAACGAGAATCCAGGCCACAGCCCCCTTGGTGATGGGGAAAGAGTTGCCAGTCACATGGGTCAAGGAGTTAATTCTGGGGATGTACAGAGAACAGTGCAGCCAAGGCCGGATCTCTTTTCCTGGATCTACAGGTTAAAAAAAGTCATACTGTCAATCTTCTTCGAGTCCTATGATGAATGCGACTTGATTACACAGTGTGTGGGTCTTAAAATAATGTCTGTGGTTCCCTGTTTCTAAAGAACTAAGGCAATCCCCAGCTCTGATTCCAGTCCACTGGCAGCTGAGATGGCACAGGGCAAGGGTGGACAGGTGGGTGTGAGAGACGGGGAGGAGGCGGGAGGATGAACTTTAGTTGCTTCTCTGTAGCCTAAGTGAGAGCCGAGGAACAAGGAGAGAATCGAGAACAGAAACTGCGGCCGTCATTACAAGAAACTGCCATTTGCTCTGTTTTCAATACATCTTGTAGAAAACCCCAAAACGAGATCGTATTGACACCTCAGACCAAAGGATCACCCCAGAACGAGGTCTCTTCCATGCTCCCCTCGCCGGCTTTATCAGTTAATCCAAGTCGGGATGTTTCTGGCAAAGCCTGATGGGGTTTTCTGGCCCAGTGGTCCTTATCGTGAGGCAACTATTTCTCTAAATGTTGTCTTCTTCCTGTCTGCTCCGAGATCACTCAGGTTTGCAGCATTGCCGATTTCTTGGCCTTGCTCCTAACCGCTCAAAACATAGTCTTCACGAGTGTGGCGGGGAACCTGCACGTTCACACTCACGGGGAACATACACACACGTTATTGGGAATAATAGCACAGATTCCGGAGGACAGCAGATGCCTCGTCGGGATAAATTTGCCCCTGAGGCAGCAGGCTTCCTTTCCTGGCGGAAGCACTCTCTGAGAGGCTAGCTCCCCCACAAACCAGGCGAGCTTGGGAGGAAGGGATGGGGTGAACTCAGGAGAAAGGGGAGGAGAGACCGCGGGGCACCTACCAAACACCGTCAGAGAGAGCAGGAGGTTCTTCCCCAGCTTGTCGCACATGCGCAGGCCCAGGTTTCGGTGCTTAGGCTCCTCGGAGCTGAGGTGGCTGTCGTGCATGCGCACTTCCACCTGTTTGGGCATATTGTTGGCACTGCAACCGAAAGCAAGCTCATGATTAGTGACTCCCTGGGCTGAGGTAATGGGGGTCTCCTGCAGGCAAAGTAGGGGAACAAATTAGGAGTGGTGAGGGCACAACAGGATTCCAGTTGACCTGTAGACCAGATAGATACTTCTACCACCCCCGCCCCCACCACCCTGTATCCCCATCGTAAGAAAAAGAAGCCCCGTGGAAAACAGCAGGGTTTCCCAAGAGTCACTCCCGTGCGACTCCGGGATGGGAGTGTCTATTCCATTCTGTTGGGATAGACTTTAAAATCCACAGGACATTCAGCTTCAAATCCAGACATGTCAAGTTTCAAAATTTGAGCTCTTTCATTCTCTTAACGACAGGGGAAGCGGTATTTTTTTTCCAGGAAAGTTGCAAACTTGAAATACACCAAAATTAGAAAGCCCCCAAGTTCAAATTTTCCACATCCTACACGGGTGAAAGTCACACCTGCTGGTAACCCAAGCCTTCCCTCTGTCCTGGAAAAACCACTGTATATAGCTAAAAGAAAGTTCAGTCAACTGTGGTTTTAATTTTATTTTCGAGACAGGGTTCTCTATATAACAGTCCCGACTGTCCTGAAACTAGTTCTTGTAGTCCAGGCTAGCCTCGAACTCATAGAGATCAGCCTGTCTCTGCTTCCCGAGTGCTAGAATTAAAGGCATGCACCACCACCACCCAGCCTGTAGTTTTAAAACGTTTTAAATCAGAACTCTGCTAAATTGCCCATGAGTCAACGCCACTAACAGTCAAAGCAGTATGGCAGCATTTTGGCCACTATCGTCTTCAGATGAACACAAGCTAAGTGAACACAAGCTGTCTTGGGGAGTCTGCTCCACAGAACCCCTGCTGGGGAAGTGAGAACCTTGCTCCCTCACCCCACCCCCGGCTACATCACTTCCTAGGCCAGTAAGATTTTTAGAATGAAGCGTGCGCATTTCCACTTTGATAACCTGAGGACACATTTGGTAGTTTACGAACACCATCATTTGACGAGTGAAAACAAAACAGACGGAAAGACTGCAACACCCAGAAGGACACGTCACTGTAGGTGACATGACAGTGCCTTCCAAAGAAGGGTGCTACCCTTGCTATGGTACTCTCAAAGGAATGTCTGCTGGCAAAGCACAGGCCTGGCAGCGTTTGTGGTGGTAAAGGGAAGAGGTGGACATCAGGAGTCTAGTCCTTTCCAGCACCTGCTAGCTGTGTGATCTAGTGTGTGTCATTCTTTTTAACTGGAGGCCAGAGGCCAGGGCTCTAAAGATCTACAATGTGAGACAAGTCAGATTATATTATAATCCCCAGATTATAATATGGGAAGGAAGGCTCTGATACTCCTTCATGAAAATTCAGTAAAAAGGGAACTAGAAAAATGGCTCAGTAAAATATTTGCCCTGCAAGCAGGGAGACTTGAGTATGGTCTTTGGAACTCACTTTAAAAATCTGATTGTGGTGACATGCATTTATAGTGTTATTACTTGGGAGGCACAGACAAATAGATCCCTAGGTCTTGTTGGCTAGACAGTCTAGCCTATTAGTGAGCTCCAGACTGAATGTAAGGCCTTGCTTCAGAAAAGAGAGGTTGATGGATGGCACCTGGAGAATGGCCTTTCACCTCCACATGCACATATAGACATGTGCACACACATCTGCACATGCATGTACACCCATCCACCGGAACAACAATCATACGCACATAAACAAAATGTTCAGCAGAATACATGAGTGTGGTGCCTGCCCTAGGCAGTTTCTTTCTCCAGAGGGCAGGAGGAAGACACAAGACTCATCAAGCTCCTGGCAAAGATGCCAATACATGGAAGGACCTATCCAGCTGCCCCAGCATCCAACAAGATATTGAGAATTTAGCTCAGAGCTAAAACTTTGGACCTAAACACTACGGCTATTTTTTCATGACAAGTTGTTTAATGTATTTGATATCAAAATGTCTTAAAAATCAAGAATAATACTTCATAGTCTAGCAGGATACTCACATGAGAATAAGTATCCAAAACCTAAAAGGTTCCTAGTGGTCCTATATTCTATTTACTAAATTGATATTGTAGGCAACCTCTGACTTCCTGTCACATGTGGGCACTTAGAACCACTCTGACCACTCTAAAAAGAAACAGTATGGCTGTCTCCCAGTGTTCATAAGGACCAAGTGATTGGGGCCATTTTCTTCACCGCCAAGTGAAACAGACAGTCAGGGCTTCATGCAGCCAGCAGGAGAAAATGCCCAGAATGATCTCTTTAACAGAGAGACCACATTTCTAGGTGTGCATTGAGCTCTTTTTCTATTTTTAAACAATTCTCCAGACAGGACTCTAAAGTAAAATGAAGCCCAAAACTTAGAAAATGGCCAGTGAGGAACAGAGGCGGTATGAGCTCTGAGAGAGTGAGCACGCTCCCTCAGTCAGGACCTCCCTAAACTCTGGCATTCCCCCCACCCGCCCCACCCCGGGATCATCAACCCCCTTGCCTTCTACTCCAATTGTACCCTGCTGCCATCGACATTAGAATCAGACCCACTCTCTCTATTAAAATGAGTCTAACAAGTATTGAAAGCAAACATTCTGGCAAGTTCCACATGGTCTCAAGAAAGCGTTAGGCATCAAAACAGCCACGGCAAAGTGGAAACACGCAGATAGTAGGCTCACATTTGCACCCGGGCGCCTGCTGCACACATTTCTTTGCTATACAAAACTGCTGGTGCTTGCTTAATCGTCTGCTTTTTCGTCTGTGACAAAAATGTCCCGGGAGTCCTAAATCAAAACAGCCACATCAAAGGGGCAGCAGCAAGATGTCAAGGACCCACAAGTGTTTACTTAGAATGTTTCTGACATGCTTTCTTAGGATTAAGCAGATTCTACAGGCATGTGGGGAAAAAGTTTTAACATATAACTTTAATAATTTATCATCATTATTATTATTATTATTACTATAGGGGCATCACAGCACTCATATGGAAGCCAGAGGACACCAGTTGGGGGTCAGTTCTCATCTCCCACCGTGGGTACTGGGGGCTAATTTTCAGGTCACTGGGCTTGAACAGCAAGCCTTTTTACTCAGTGAGCCAGTTTGCCAACACAGAAAATAAATTTTAAAGTCAATTGGAACCTCAGTTGCAGTCAGGGACACAGGAAGCTTCCCAAACTACCTGCAAAAATTCTGCAACCAACTGTTGCGTTTCTCAGACCACAAGGGCAAAGGGGAAGATTCTAGAATATTACTATGAAATATTAATAGCAAAGATGATTATATACCATTGCGTAGAGCTGCTGTGGAGCCTACATACCTTTAGAATCTATACATATGCTGGTTACTTAGCAAGCACCCAAGTAACAGGCACGGATTCATTGGCTATTCTTCATGCGTCTCACACTATACTCAGTAGTGAGCGTCTTTGCCTGGAGAAGGGGAGGAAGTGGGTGGACAGTAATTATCTGCTTACATCTGTGCTATGATAGAACCCTGCACGGGTTGCTACTGGGAATCACAAGAGCTACACTAATCCAGGCTGGGAAGGCATAAGGGGTATTCAGGAAAGGTCTCTCGGAGGGGCGGGTTCCTGACCTGGATCTTTTTCAATCCCTGCATCCTTTACCAGTCTCTGAGCTGTGAGCAAGCAAGCCTGTGACATTCCATGGGGCACCGGCCAAAACAATTTGGGGGCTGGAAAGATGGCCTGCTTTCTCCTAGGAATGAAACCTTTCTACAGAGGCTGGCAGCGTGTTTCAGCACGCTCTTTCTATTCTTGCCTTTAGTCCTCGAATTTCTTCTGGAAACAGAGTGTAGCCCCTACTCTGTAAGAGCCACTGAAAATGGGGCCGTGAATAAAATAAACCCAGACCGAAAGAAAGCTCTCTTGGTGCGGACATGTAGTGAGTGGGAGAAGGGACAGATGGTGACGGCACCGGGCAGAAGTAGAGACGGGAGGAATAGATGATTTTATGTCACGTGGTCATGGCAGGTCTCATGAGTAAGGGACATGTGAACATCAGCCTGGAAGAAATGAGGAGCCTTTTTGAATTATTTCTGAAAGTTTTTCATAGCTTAGCAAGTAAAATAAATACAATATGACCGCAAGTACAGCTACCCTACAACCTAAAACTCCCACCAGATGTAAATCGTTATGTCTAAATGTTAGATTTTAGCACGGGCACTGATTCAGATTGATGTCAAATAAGTAATGCTAGGGCCTATTACCAACGTGAAAGTGGCAGGGTTTTAATGACCGTCCCAGCTCCTACTGGGATCCATGTCTACTAGAAGGAGGGAAGATGGACAGACAGGAGGCCTCAGGTCTCAATAGTGTAAGGGTTTCCTTCCAGAGGAACAGACAAACAAGGCAAAACCTGACCTATGTACTTGCCCTGGATGAACGCAGTGGCTTCATACGTGTGCGCTCATCTTTTCCCTGGTGTCCACACACTGTGCAAATAGAGCAGGGCAACGAAGAGTTCAATCACCAAGGCAGGGAATTGGGGTACACCGACTCCATAGCGTTCTTCGCCACCCCTACCCCAACCCCTGAGCTGCAGCCACAGACACTATTGGTCACCTCTGTTCTTACTTGGGGGCATCCTGGATGAAGGAGCTGGCAATAATTTCTGAACATTTGAAGCCGGCTCAGCCAGACCTCTCCCGTGGCCTCCATTGGCCAACCAAGGAAGGCCACGTGACAAGAAAGCTAGGGTGGAAGATAACTAAACCTCGATGGTGAGCTTACAGTTTCTCTCAGCCCTAGTTTCTCCACCGTGTTATTTAAACAGGCTGTTAATTTTGCAATCGCTGCCCAGCCCCATCTCACACATATGCACGCAAACCCTGTTTCAATGGCAAATTCAGCTTCTCTTGCAAATTGTGCTCCGTGACTCAAAGCGAATGCCTAATGGAAGCATGTTAGGTTTTCTCTGTGCCTGCTTTTCATTAGCGTCTAATATAGCAACAGTCTGACTTCCTGCTGCACACTCTCCTTTCACCTC